TCCTCGCCACCAACACTTATTGTTGTTTGTCTTCATAATAGCTGCCATTCTGACTGGAGTGAGATGAAATCTTAGAGTAGTTTTGGTTTGCATTTCTCTAATTGCTAGAGATGTTGAAAATTTTGAAATGTATTTGTTGATCGATTGTATTTCTTCTTCTGTGAATTGTCTGTCCAGTTCCTTAGTCCCCTTATTGATTGGGTTATTTGGGTTTTTTGTTTTTTTTTTGGTGTTAACTTTTTTTGAGTTCTTTGTATATCTTAGAGATTAATGCTTTATCTGAGGTGCACGTGGTAAAGATTTTCTCCCATTCTGATTTTTCTCCCATTGATTGTTTTCTTTGCTGAGAAGAAGTTTTTGGTTTGAATCCATCCCATTTTCTGATTCTTGATTTTACTTCTTGCCCTGTAGGGGTCTTGTTAAGGAAGCCAGATCCTAGGCTGACATGGTGAAAATTTGGGCCCATTTTTTCTTCTAGTAGGCACAGGGTCTCTGTTCTAGTGCCTGAGCCTTTGATCCATTTTGAGTTGAGTTTTGTGCAGGGTGAGAGAGAGAGGTTTAATTTCATTTTGTTACAATGTAGCTTTCCATTTTTTTCCAGCACCATTTGTTGAATAAGCTATTTTTTTCTCCAGTGAATGTTTTTGGCACCTTTGCCTAGTATGAGATAACTGTATTTGTGTGGGTTTGTTTCTGACTTCTATTCTGTACCATTGGTCTATGTGTCTGTTTTGGTGCTAATACCATACTGTTTTGTTACTACAGTTCTATAGTATTGTTTAAAGTCTGGTATTGTGATGTCTCCTGCTTCTCTCTTCTTGCTAAGGATTTCTTTGTCCATTCTGGATCTGTTATTTTTCCAAATGAATTTCATGATTGCTTTTTCTATTTCTTTGAAGAATGACATTGGGATTTTATTTTATTTTATTTTGAGAGAGAGAGAGAGAGAGAGAGAGAGAGAGAGAGAGAGAGATTATTTATTTATTTATTTATTTTAGTTTTCTGCGGACACAACATCTTTGTTTGTATGTGGTGCTGAGGATTGAACCTGGGCCACACGCATGCCAGGCAAGCGCATTACTGCTTGAGCCACATCCCCAGCCCGACATTGGGATTTTAATAGGAATTGCATTAGCTCTTTATAACACTTTTGGTAGTATGGGCATTTTGACAATATTAATTCTGCCTATCCAGGAGCATGGTAGGTCTTTCCATTTTCTAAGGTCTTATTCAATTTCCTTCTTTGGTGTTCTGTAGTTTTCATTGTAGAGGACTTTCCCCTATTTTGTTAGATTGATTCCCAAGTATTATTTTTTTGAAGCTATTGTGAACGGGATAGTTTTCCTAATTTCTCTTTCAGTGGGTTAATTGCTGATGTATAGGAATGTGTTCGATTTATGGGTGTTGATTTTATAACCTGCTATTTTGCTGAATTCATTTATTATTTGTAGAAATTTTATGGTGGAATTTTTTGGATCTTCTAAATATAAAATCATGTTATCAGTAAATAGTGATAGTTTGAGTTCTTCTTTGCCGCAGCCCGGCTGGCTGGGCAAAATAACCGGGGGGTGATGAGCAAATTGTGTACATTGATACAGCAGGAGTGGGAGCTGTTTATTGTAGGACAGGAGGGGTATATATACATTCCACACAGCTTATCTTAATTAACATAAACTAGATACAGCAGTCAACCAATAAGGAATCTCCACACTTAATGGCTCGCTGGCGTTGCTTCACAAACCACTCCCTCTGGCAACATGCCAGGCGCCATCCTGACTTGTTTACAGACTCTAACACTTCTTTACCTATTTGTATCCCTTTAAGTTCTTCTGTCTAATTGCTCTGGCTAGAGTTTCAAAGATGATGTTGAATAAAAATGGTAAAAGAGGGCATCCTTGCCTTGTTTCAGTTTTTAGAGGGAATGTTTTCAATTTTCCTGTTCAAAATTATGTTGGCCTTGGGTATAGCATATATAAGTTACATGATTTTGAGGTATGTTCCTACTATCCCTAGTTTTTCTAGTGTCTTGAACATGAAGGGTTGCTGTATTTTGTCAAATGTTTTTTTCTGCATCTATTAAGATGGTCATTCATTCTTGTTTTTAGTCTATTGATATGATGAATCACATTTATTGATTTCCATATGTGGAACCAATCCTGTATCCCTGAGATGAACCCCACTTGATTGTGGTGCACTGTCTTTTTAATATGTTTTTGTATGCTATTTGTCAGAATTTTATTGAGAATTTTTGCATGTATGTTCATCAGGGATATTAGTCTGAAGCTTTCTTTCCTTGACATGTCTTTGTCTGGTTTTGGTCTTGTAGAATGAGTTTTCTATTTCATGGAATTCTTTGAGTAGTATTGGTGTTAATTCTTCTTTGAAGGTCTTGTAGAATTCGACCAACAATTCATCTGGTCTTGGGCTTTTCTTGATTGGTAGGCTTTAGGCTTTTGATGGTGTTTTCTATGTCATTTCTTGAAATTGATCTGTTTAAATTGTGTATGACCTACTGATTCAGTTTGAGTAGGTCTTATGTCTCTAGAAATATTTTGATGTCTTCAATATTTTCTATTTTATTAGAATATAAATTTTCAAAATAATTTCCAATTGTCTTCTGTATTTCAGTCATGTCCATTGTGATATTTTCTTTTTCATCACATATTTTAGTAATTTGAGTATTCTCCCTCTTTTTTCCTCTTCTCTGAAGCCTTTTTATAAGGACATTAATCTCATTCATGATAGCTGTCATCAAGAATTAATCATTTTCCAAAATGCCCCACCTCTTTATACCACCACAGTGGAGATTATGTTTCTACTGAATTAGGGGGCTGGAGGTATAGTTCAGAGGCAGAGTACATGCCTAGCATGTATGAAACCCTAGGTTCCATCCCCAGAACCACAAAAAATAAATAAATAGAAGAAACCTACATGAATTTTGGTACACAAACATTCAGATCACACCATGTAAATCTTGTCATAAATTCATATAAATCTTGTCATAAATATATCATGTATGAATAATCATACAAAATACATACTAACCTACTAAACTCATTGCTCTGTAATCTCACAGTGTTTGGTTTTTTGTTTTTTGTTTTTGTTGTTGTTTGTTTGTTTGTTTGGTACTAGGAATTTAACTCAGGGGCACTGGACCACTGAGCCACATCCCTAGCCCTATTTTGTATTTTATTTAGAGACAGAAGGTCACTGAATTGCTTAGTGCCTCACTTTTGCTGAGGCTGGCTTTGAACTCACAATTCTCCTGTCTCAGACTCCTGAGCTTCTGGGATTACAGGTGTGTGCCACCACACCCAGAGCCTCATAGTGTTTTTTGGAAAGCTTTCCAAAATAAGCAAAAATGGGTATCACAAGTTCAATAAGTTAATTTATTATAAAGCATTAATGTAATGTAGCTTGTTACTCCTTTTAGAATTTTCTAATTTGCAAAAAAAATAAGACCATGTTTGAGCAATGTCTGTCTTGTATCTTGGCTTTTAATCAAATTAACATAGCACCTCCATGTGTTTTATTTTTTTCATAGTCCTCTAGTGAGGATTACCTTAGATAATTTAATAATATAATTAAAATAAATACATTTAAGAATTTAGTATAGGTTATATGATAACAAGGTTCTAAAACAACAAGCAAACAAAAACTGTGGAATTAACCAAATGCAATTACAGACTTTGTTTTTAGATCCCAATTTAAACAATATTTCTTTGGAAAAATATTTTTGAGACCTCTTCCCAGTCTAGAATACTTTGTCACACGTGGACAGTCATATAACTTTTTGGTTTTATATCACACTTGTTATGTGATACTTACTGGCTTATTTTGGCCTCATGAGACCCCCCCAGAAAGGATCAGGATTTGAAATCAATTACCAAAACCTCCAGACAATTAGTGATGAATTATAGTATGATACTTGTACCTTAAAGCTGGAAATAGATACCAATTCAGTCCAAAAAAATGAGTCAGGGCTGGAGTTGTGGCTCAGAGGTAGAGTGCTGGCCCTAGGTTACATGTGTGAGGCACTGAGTTTGATCCTCAGCACCACAAAAAGTAAAATAAAGACATTGTGTCCACCTATAACTAAAAACTGAATATAAAAAATGAGTCATTTCATTCTTTGGCATAGGTGTATGGGTGGTGGAGGGCCAGGGCATCAGGAAGTTTGAGCCTCATTCAATGTTTTTGATTCTATTTTTTTTTTTTTTTTTACATTGTAATGTTCTGTGAAATCAGAATATGTCCAATAGTTGACGGGTTCCTTTAATGTTTGTACTCTTCTCCAGGAAAGCTATTAGAAATTAATAATGTATCTTACCATTGATAATATCTTAGAATTGAAGAATTCAATATGGAATTTTATTTCTTGCTTGGAAAATTGCTAAAATGGGTCCGTTATCTAAATTATGATTAGATGATTAGCCAGTGACTCCTATTGCATTGAGAAACAAGAGCACAATACATCACTTGCTTGGACAAAATTCCCAACATTCTCTAATGCAGTCAATGAGAAATCACTGATAAATAGCATGGGCATAGCTCAATGGTGTTTTATATGTTCTATCAACCTAGAGCTAGGTGAAAGAACTAGGGTGAAGCACCAAGACCACTGGAGCTGTAAATTTTCTCTTCTTATTCTCTTTGCCAGAGTCAAGACTTCCATCCTAACAATAGAGCTCCCCATTTCAAAGCCCCTGTGTCTTTCAAATTCCTTCAGATGAGAGGGCCTAATATTGACCAGTTTCTTTCAGGATCCAAGATTGATAAAAGCATTGCATATAAAATCGGGTGAGAATACAACCAGAGAAGTCCAAAATTGTGCTCCATTTATTTGAGTACAATGAATCAAAGAACGTTCTGCTGTCTTGTATTACTGATTAGTACAAATAAATAAATATTTTTAAAAAAGAATTTAAAAAATCTAATGAGACATGTTGCCTCGATTTGTATATAAGAACATTATGATTCATACAGTCATCTTTTCACAGGTTTAGAAATTTTGTCTATACATACCGAATCTTCAGAGAGAGACATGGGTACTACAAGATTCAGGTGAGAACACGTAAGGACTCCTGCAGATCAAGGCAAAACCTGGGAGAGAAAAACCTGAGATCATCTCTTGAACCCAAGATGTGACCAGCTGAAGGCATTCTAAGAGGAAAGCCTTGTCTTCAGGGGCCTGCTGTGGATGATGGGTTGAAGTGACTGTGTTATGGAGACCTCCTGTACACAACTTCAGTGTCAGCCTACATCACTATCATAACACTGCATGTCAGAAAACCTGATTAACACCCTTCTTTGTAGCCCAACACAGTGGCCCTATGATAACCACAGTGGTGATCAAGATAACTAAATACATAAGGGTAGAGGAAGCAAATTCTTTTTTTTAAATTTTTTCTATAGGATTGTATCAGAAAATAGTATTTGGTTTACAGCTGACAAACAGAAAACAACTATTCACAATTTTACTGAGTCAAGTTGATGTTCCTCCTTTCAATTTAAATTGCAACCTTTTGGGGGGACTCTGAATTCATCCTGTATGTAAATTGCATGTTTTGCATTTCCCATCAGAAGTCCACCTCAGTTAGTTCCCTAGCAAAGCTTGCCAGTAGGGCACAAGTCTGAAATAGGCTCTTAGAGCAGTCCCCTTTACAGTGTATCTACGAGAAGAATTGGCCCCAGACAAACTTGCCAAGGATAGGGCTGACTTGACACTGCAGTCCAAGTTGCATATTTCTTGATTGTAAATCCTCTTTACTCAGAGTAGCTCAAGTCAGAGCTGGACTCAGAAACACAGTCTTTATGAATCACAGTTGGTGTGAGCTCTTAAACATGAGCTGTTGGCCTCTTGTTTTCAGTTTGTCCACTCTCAGAAGCAACCCTGAGAACCGCTATTTCAGGAAGTTTCACAATTCACACACAATTGCAGATTATGAGTGACTTCTTGTTTTTTTGCAGACTTTGGAAGGTACTCCAAAACAGATCTTTCCAAGCCTAAAGGAATTGATCTCCAAGTTTGAAAAGCCAAACCAAGGTCTGGTGGTTCACCTTTCAAAGCCAATAAAGAGAAGCAGTCCCAGCTTAAGAAGGAGAAGATTGAAAGTTAAACTGGATGGTATATAAGATAAAAGCTTTCCTGTGGGATCAGAAAGGAGCCTTCAACCTATTTCCACCAATGTCCTCTCTTGGCAGAATCAATACAAATAGATGCCCTTTCCCATGACATTACCTCTGAAAAGCTTCATCCTATTAAGTGCAATTTCAATTTTATTGAAAAATAATGTCTTCCAGCCCCTACAAGTGGTGGACTGCTGTGTTTGGGCAGCCAAAATAGCAAGAGAGGGTACTGGGCTGGCTTTGAATTCATTCTGCGACCTCATGCAATCTGCTCAAGTTTGGGAATAAATGAACACGTGGACAGATTTTCCAATAAGAAAATCACTTCAACTCTCTCATTCACACTTATTCTCTTACATTTTTTTCCAATATTTAATAAGCATCCATTTATAAAGGGATAGCTGACAAATATTTCAGATATATCCCTAAAGATATGAAACCATAGTGGTAAATTTGAGAGCAGACAATCTATCTGAGAAGTCTTAAATCTTATCACTAGCAGAGCCACTATTGCTTACCCTCACCCTTAAGATTTGCTCTCAACAGAATCTAGTACCTCTCAGTTGCAATGTAGTTTGAATTTGACTTCCAGAGACATTTAATCCTGATCTTTTCTGGTTAAATGTATGGCTACATTATCAATGGAAAGTGATGTAGTTGCCAGTGGGCAGGTGATGGTGGTGAGATCAGATATGCTATCCAGGGAGGACAGAGGATAGAGCCTTGGGTCACAAAACCCAAGAAGAGAAAGAATCACTCAAAAATATTCCCCAAGACCTGGGCAAGAATCTCCCCACCAGTTCTCCATGTTTGGTCAATACTTGCAGAGTGAGCTCCCAAATACTCATCTACAGAAAGGGAAATATCTCCCATTGACCTTATTTTCCTCCTCCCGTTGCCTTTGCCTCTTTAGAGCAAGCTTCTGATGAAGGCACTCATTTTTCCATGGTGAATGCAGATATCTAGTGCTGGAAACTTTAAAGCTTGGCTTATAAAGGAACCCCCTATTTTTCCAGAAAAGCTCTGTGGTACCCCCACCATTTGAAGATGTCACTTTGATATGGCACCAAGATTGCTGTGGTCATGAATATTGAAAGGAGATCAATAAAACAGAGAAAAGTGACCAGGAGAGGGGGAATGGGAGGAGAATGATATTGGCCAAATTATATTGTATGTTATGTGTAACTATACAACAATAATACCCCCTTCTCCCCAAAAAAGAAAAAAAAAAACAAGGTGGCTTCACTAAAAAACAACAATAAAAATATGGAAAAAGTTTAAAAAATAAATAAAAAGAAAATATCCACTGATCCTAGGATCATTTATTTAAAAGTTCATTCTTAAAAAAAGAAAAGAAAAATGCTGGTCTTCTTTCCCTTGAGTGGGGTTGGTTAATATAGCTTCCGGGCATGAAGTCTCATGGATGGTCCTTTGCTTTTTCCCCCAGAGAACAATGATGACGACTATGTGAATGTCTTACCTTAAAGGTGAAGATAAGAACTCTGGACAAAGCAAATTAAAGAAGAGATGGGGCAACAACTCTCACAGTTGGTAACTGCTTCACCTGCAAAGTGTAGGTCTGGAATGACAAATTCTCGTGGCCAATTCAGAATCTCCCAGTCAGGGTAACTGAAGATATTCTGTCTATTAGCCTCAGAGAAATCACTCCTCATATCCCTGCCTTCAAGACGAACACTACAAGAAGGCTTAAAGCCCCTCTTCACTTCTTGGAAAGGGACACCTGACCCTATTCTTCCTGACTCGTTAAAGGAACTACATCACAGTTGACATCCTCTTTCTGTCAGCTTCATACAGAGGAAAGGGCACTTGGCAATGAGTTCTGAACCCTGAGTTTCAGTCCAGTGACTGTGGTTTTGCAAAAATCACAGTCTATTTCTTCATTAATAAAAAGTAGTTGGGGTTAGGGGCAGGGGTTATACGTCTCTCTGTAGAACTTGGTTGTGTTCAGTGGAGTTAGAGAATCCAGAAGTGCTGGAAATGTGTACGGTAAGGGATCAGGGTCTCATTCTCCTCACACAGCCAACATATTCTCTGTACTTGCCTTACTTAGGGATTTATGTTTTCTTTTGTATCAAAGTTAAACCTGTAATGCAATATAAACATGCTTACCGTAACCTAATTTTCACATATATAATGGAGCCATCTTAAGTTAGGAAAACCTGTGGTCAGAATGGAGCCATTTTAAAATTCCTTAACAGGTATCCGATCACAACTGTAGGCCCTTTCCGTGCTCTGTATAGTGATATATGTGGGTATTTTAAAGATATTCTCCTGGGCTGGGGATGTGGCTCAAGTGGTAGCGCGCTCGCCTAGCATGCATGAGGCACCACATAAAAATAAAAATAAAGATATTGTGTCCATCTAAAACTAAAAAATAAATATTTTTTAAAAATACTTTAAAGATATTCTCCTATGTGCGATCCCATTTCCCACCTAGGTTCTAAGTATTATCAAAGCATGCTTGGGTCTCCCTTTTATCCTCCACAGTGTGTAAAAATATTTGCTGAAAGAGTTGTGCCTTATTCGTAGACATTATTGACTAAGAAGCATATTTCTGAAGAGATGACTGAATTGATTTTAAGGCCTCTAGAATTTTTCTACTAGTTCAAAATGTTAGAACCTTGTTAGTTTGGAATGTACCAAGTTCAATGCCCATCCTTAAACCACAGTGATTTAATTTCACCCTTGACCATCCTTTCAAAGTTATTAAAAAGAGGAATTCTAGATTTTCAGATGACATGAGCAGCAGACATGTGGCTGGAGTTCCCGAATGTGAATCATTATGTAATGAGTTCCTGGGTCACAGCAATCCAAGGCTATGACCAAGTATAGAAGTGAAATGCAGCCATATTCAGAGGGAGCCAATTTCTTCTGGTTGGTTCAGTAAAAGCCACCAGAAGCAAGCCTGCTTCCTGTGATTCAGTTCTAGAACTTTGATTCATTCTTTATGGTATTAAGAAGCACGTTCCAGTTTCCAGCGACTATAGCAATCCTTGGCAAAGAAAATATATTCAATGAATAGTTCTCAAATGAATGAATAAATCAGTATATAAAATGTGGTTACTCATTCTGGATAGTAGGTATTTTCTTGAGCTTTATACATTTCAAAATCCAGTATATCAAGACAATTTTCAAGATCTTTAAATTATAACTCTCCTAGAAGCAATTTCCTTTTTGTCAAGCACCCATGCATAGAATCTTGCACAATGCTTGGTGAGTTTCCAGTACATTTCTCAAATAAGCAAGCAACATTTAATAGCCGATGTTAACATCACACTATGACTCCCTGACATTTTTTAGAAGATCCTGAACTGATCACAGGAAGAACAACTCAAAAATCTGGGTATGTGGGACTGGAAGAGGAAAGCCAAAGTATTAATATTTATTTCAAGTGTTTGAAGTGCTGCTCTGAAAGATGATCCAGACTCACTGGATACAATGACAGGCCAAAGAACTTGGACCAATGGTTGGGTGTTTATAGGAGAGTGGTTTTAGTCAAATATAAAAACATTGAACCCACGGGGTCTATCCTACAACCTTTCAGTCTGCCCAGTGTTGTGGTTCAAGTAGACAATGATATATTCCAAGGATGTTGGAGAGTTGATTCCTGTCCTGAAAAGAAATTAGACTGATGGAATGCTAAGAAATTAGACTTCTAAATCAAGGACAATTATATTCTATTCTCTTCTTTAATAACTATAGTGGAAATCTATCTATCTATTTCTTTCTTTCTGTTTTTTATTTTGGTATGGAGAGTTGAGTTTAGCACATACTTTAATTGTTAATTCACAACTGCCATTAGCCCATACGACAACTTTCTTTTGTTTTATTGCAGTTTTTTTTTCCTTCATCCCTAATTCCCATTCCAAGATCTCCCCCTCTGGAACCAGCTCTATAATTTTGATATAAGACTTTGGACATGGATTACCATTGCAGACTATAAAGTATTGGCTATGGACACATACATTTAGCATTTATGTACATGGTATGGTGCTATTGCTCTAAATCTGTTATTCTTTTTTTTTTTTTTTAATGCAACACTGACCTGTTCCATACTATAGCTATCTAATTCAGTACTTCTAACTGAGACATGATACTCCTCAGTGTGCACTGGCCATTATAAACATGCTATAACCACTTACATGGGCCATAAGTTTTGCTGTTTAATGGAGTTGCAAATTTTTACCATAGAATCTTATATATTCTGTTAGATTAATTTATTTTCTTTCTTCCTTTTTTTTTTTTTTTTTTGGTGGTGCTGGGGGTTGAACCCAGGGCCTTGTGCATGCAAGGCAAGCACTCTACCAACTGAACTATATCCCCAGCCCCTATTCTGTTAGATTAATTTCTAATTATTGTTAGTTGTTATAAATTATATCTTATGTTTTATTACTTTTCTAATAGTCTGTGGTGGCAGCAAAATATTTACTTTCTCATTAGAGCTACTGGTTTACCTATTGATTCCATTGTGCTTTCTGTGTAAATGATTTTTGTCAACTATAAATATTACTTTGTTCTTTTTCTTTTCAATACTTATGCTTCTTACTTATTTTTCATGTTTACTTCATTGACCAAGGGCATCTAATACACATTACACGTGGTCATGATAGTAGGCATCTTTGTGTTGCTCCCAGTCCTATAGAAAAATGCTTAGAAATTATCTCCATTTAAGCATGAGGTTTGCTGTAGGTTTTCAGTAAATAGTCTTTATCAAGTTTATTTTAAAATTTTTATCTAGAATATTTTGAAATTTATTGTTATTTTTTTCTGCATCTATTAAGATAGTTCACTTCCTTTTATCTTCACTGCTTTATAGTAGTAAGCTACTAAAATTAATACAATTGTTAATATGATACCTTCCTAACATTGTTTACCTTAATCATATTGTATTATTTTTAATAAAGTCTTGGATTCAGTAAACATTTAAGGCTTTTTCATTGCAACTCATAAAACAAAAAGACTATAATTTGCTGAATTACTGGTTCACTTTTTCATATAAATGAATTAAAATCTTTCTCCTTTTTCTATTTTCTGCAATAACTTTGTAAGGTTAGAATTCTGTTTCTTGGATTTTTTTTTTTTTTTTTTTTTGCTATTTTCTTGTAAAATTGATTGTTAGGCTCTGGTGCAGGAGAGGAAAATATTTTATTACTATTTAAATATCTTTTATATTAATTGGTTTATTCAATTATTTTGCCCATTTGGACTTTGTTGTTTTTTCCAGAAATTTGTTGATTTTGTCTACATTTTCACAATTATTAGTATATAGCTCACAATATTCTGTTGTTAATGCTTCTGATGTGACTAAAATCATATCTCCTTCCTTACTCTGTATCTTATTTCTACCTTGCTTTTATTAACCAGTTTTAATAAAAAGCCAGCTTTTGGTTTTGCTGATCTTTTTTGTTATTGCTTCTGGATTGTTGCTCTCTACTTCATTGATTTCTCATCTCATTTTTTCTCATTTCATTTTACTTATCTGAATTGTTTTCCATATTTATTGTTTTCTAATAAATATATCTAAAGCAATGAGTGTAGCTCAAAGTACAATGTTATCTGTATCCCACTAATTTTAACATGAACCTGCTGTTTCAGTGAAGCATTTTCACTCCTGTAACAGTGTCCTTTTCAACCCAAGAACTACTTAGAAGTTTTTAATTGTTTTCAAATAACTATAACTATATATGATATTATATATATGATTCATATATTTATATATTAAATATATTTACTTTCTATTTATTATTTACATATTAATTACACATATACATTAAACACACATTAATTAATTTATATATAATTTAATATTTAATTAATATATTAATACATTGTATATATGTGTGTGTGTACCTAGTATTGGTATTGGTGCTGGTATTTAGTATTGGTCCCTAGGATTGAACCCAGGGGTGCTCAACAACTGAGCCACATCCCTGGCCTTTTTTATTTTGAGAAAGGGTTTCACTAAGTTGCTGAGGCTGGCTTTGAACTTATGATTCTCTTCCCTCCACCTCTGGAGCCCCTAGGGTTATAGGCATGCACCACCGCACCAGGCTAAATATATCTTTTTTTAGTTTTCATTTTAGAACAGATTTCAAACTATATTCTCACCAACGACCCGTGTAGATGAGACAAACTGGCAGCACCATTAAACTAAGAAAATAGGGGAAAATCACGTGACATAGAGAGTAGTTTTCAAACCAAAGGTAGGATGGCTCTGTGACCTTAAGGTCAGTTTCCACGCTGGAAAGAAAGGTGCACCCCAGAATCTCTTTATTTTATACTAACAAAGGAGTTTCAATAGAATGTTCTTCAAATCAGGCAGCGGATAAGGTTTCAAGGGTGGGGTCTTGCTTCATGATGTCTTGTGGTCAGCAGATTGATTGACATCTTGGTAAGTCACACCCATCTCAGGTGCTGCATGGGATCTTAGGCAGAGCTTGAGGAGGAGGCTCACCTGCATCATGTGATCACTCCCTGACAGGGAGCTGGCAATGCCAGGCCTATCCCCACATATGGCTACGATTGCACAATAGCTCACACACACAGCCCATGGAAGGCTGGTGACAATATATAGCATTAAGGTTAGATACAGGTTCGACTTCAACTTCTGAATATTTCATTTATTGGAATTGGTTTTTTTTCTATTCATTTTAAAACTCAGTCTCTTCTGCCCCTAGATGGATCAAAGATTGTAGGGGATATAAAATAAACATTTATATAAATTTGCTTAATTTTCATCAGTTTGATCTATCAGAGTCAAACAGAAATAATTTTTTCATTTTAACTCACTATGTAATAGATTTAGCTTTCTAATAATAATCATCATTATATTGCTTTTTATTTATCATTCTGCCATTTTTATTTTAACTGGTTTGGGGTTATATTTTTAACTGCATATATTTTTACAATTATT